TTATTACTTATTACTTATTATTATTATTATTATATATATATATATATATATATATATATATATATATATATATATATATATATATATATATGATTCAAGCTATGCGAAAGTCTTACAAGTCACCTACATACGGATGTTTCACATGCGAATCTTCCAGAGTGAGCACAATGGCTACTAATCATATCAGAGAACACGGACGGGTGGGTCAACTCAGCTTACACACACTTTTCGCAGCCTATACACTAGCATGGCTTGGTTTCACAGGACATGCGCACACGTAAACACGCCTGCCGTTACACAGGTGCAAAAATATATAGCAACAAATGGAAGCACCAGTCACCATCTGAAGCGTGATATCTACTGAGTTGTCTATACATGCACAGATATGAATAGGTTCTCCCATGTACGTGGGGATGTCAGAATTTGTGCACATCTTATTTTCAGTGAAGCGGGCAACACATACCAGTCCGAGATTCAGTGTGTGGTTGTCGGACAAGAACTTGAGAGTGTCTCTCTGTTCAATGTGCTTGTAGTGGTACTGAAGAATCTGTGCGAAACTGCTGCCGGAGACTCGGATGGCCTTATGGGCCAGTCGCTGTAAGTAGCAGAGCATAGAAAAGGTTTTAGCGACACAGTGTTAATTAATTGAGAAGTCTGGAGAGAACTCCAGGGTTGCCTCCAACCGACGGCCTTGAGATGATCGAGAACAAAACAAAAGGGGTGTAGAAGTGTTTAAAGTGTATACGACTTGTGTGAGATAGACAGAAGTACTCTGCTGTCTACAGCCCGACAAAGCTGGATTCGCCAGTATTTGGTATGGGCTTGGTGCATACAATCTATGCGATTGTCCGCAATGTCTCAAATCGCGAATGCGGATGTGTCACACCCTCGACTCAATGGGTTTAGCGTTTTTATGTTTAGGGTTTCTAGAGTTGGATTTTAGGGTTTTAGGGTTTAGTTGAGTCAGAGTGAATTCATCTGTTTTCGGTAGTTGCTTGGAATATCCGCAAAGTCATTGCCTGCGAACACGGATATAGCATGCCCATCGCTTCATCTTTTAGTCGTACATACTTCTCAGTCATCGTGAGATATAGTGTAGCAAATCGAACGGTACTGTGACATACCAATCAAATAAAATAGACATTTTCCTTTAAACACACAAGCGATATCCGACAATTATTTGTGAATGATAAGAATATTAGGCATCATCTGGAAACATGCAGAAATTATTAAACAAACATCTGTAAACAAAGAAAAGAAAAAGATACAACTATCTGCAAACATACAAAGAATATCAGACAATCTCCTGTAAAAATACAGACTACCAGATAACCATCTGAAAGCACATAAAGACTATCGTCAATCCTCCGTGAACATACCTCCAAAAAAAAAGGGTTGCATCGTGCAGACAACCTTTTGCAATCAAGCAAAATCTACTAAACACTCCTCTATGAACTTACCAAAAAATAGAGTGTTTCTTCGTCCACGCGCCGATTCTGAGGCGTCAGCGCCTCATCCGTCCTTCCGTTTTTCCTAACATTTCCATTTGCACTTTGGCCCAATCCTATTTTGTCCCCGCCACCCTGCCCCGCCCCCTCTCCGTGCGTAACACTTCTCCCAGGCTCTACCCCGTTGCTGCCAGAACCCTTACGTCGCTGTGAGGATGTGTGTGTGTGTGTGTGTGTGTGTGTGTGTACGTTGCTGGATCCATGCCTACCCCGGGCCATACCCTCCCGCGCAATGGTACTAAGACCTTGTTGCGGATAGTGTCTGCGCGGGTGGTCGTTGAGTTCTCTCAGCTGCCCATCCAGCCGCGCCCGCTGTCGGGGCGGTGATCTGTGGCATTTTGTCCGATGCTGTGTGGTGCTTTCTTTAGCCCTGCCCTTGTTCTTATACCCACCCGTACGTCGGTGCATGCCTGTCCCGTGTGTGTACTGGGGCGTGTGTACCCCAATCAGCGCACGCACCTGCGCGTCAGAAGTAGCGCGTGTGTGTCGTTGGTCGTGCGCCATCCCATTGGGCCCCCTCCAACCGTGTGTGTAAACGGATGGTGTGTGGGTGTCTGCCCTGGCCTGAGTTCGTACTACCAGCGACTCGGCGTCCGGTGCGTGTCTGGTATCGTGCCGTGTACTGCAGGTCTGGTCGGCTAGTACGCGCATGGTGGTGGTCAGTGTGCGCAGATGCTCATGTGCGACATCCAACAGTCGGTCTAGCGCCCCTTCCGAGGTGCCCTGGAACCCATTCTCTGTGAGGTATAGCATTAGAGCGCGTCTGAGCAGCACTTGCACATGCCTTTGTGATAGCCGCGGCGCAGGTTTTGCTGAATGGTGTGTACTACCGGTTCCGTGGTCTGCCTGGTCGGTTCCTGTATTCAATATAAATATGAATATATATA